TCGGCGTCATCACCCAGCGAGGGACTCCTGGCTGTTCCTCTCTCAAGGCTTTCAATTAGCCAACGGATTGAGGTCGCCAGCACCCCGTCGATCGCCCGCACCGCAGACTCTGGTAGATTACTTTTGTTTGTGGTAATTAACAGCTTTGCTTGTTTGAAATAATATCGTCTAGTGGCTGAAATCTATTCAAAGTGTTACGTTTTATTTTCACTTGCCACTGACCAGGGGTAAAAAACTGGTGATTAGAAACGGATTTGCAGTCGCACCTTGTAATTTTCTTTATTTAATTAGGCTGATTGGCATTAGTTAAATTATACGTTGCACTCTCGTTTTGAGTCAACATCAGCATGAAAGAGACAAATAACTGGGGATAGGATAGAACTCTATGAAATCATGACTGGTGTGGACAAAGTGAATAAGGAAGTGTTATCTGAAGGGGTAACTAACACAAGAACCAGGGCAGCAAGTTAAAACAAACAAAAGCATGCTCTAATTCACACAAAATGCCCACGTAAGCTCTGGAACTTGTTGCCAAGGGATACTGGAAGGTCAAAACTATAACTGGGTTCAAAAAGGAATCAGGCAAGTTCACGGAGGTTAGGTAGAGCCCTACAAATTCACAGCCACAAAAAACACATAATGGACCATGAAATATGGCTGTGTGCTTTTACCCCATACTATCTATGAGGGACCAGCATTTCGACACTGGGGAGCCTGACCAAACAGGGAGTTGCGGGGAAGGGGGTGGTAAGCAGGGGTCACAGTATTGCCATCCTTATTTCTGTGATGCCTTCAGAGCTGAGCAGCTGGAGAGTGGCAGCTGATGACTGGGAGTCCAGCTCCGCAGGCAGCCGCACTGAAGGGTGGCAGTACCACACCATGCCAGCCTTACTTGTGCACTGCTGCTGGTAGCAGCTTTGACTTCAGAGCTGGGCTCCCTGGCAACAGCTGCTGCTCTCCAACCGCCCAGCTCTGAAGCAGCACCACCATCAGCAGCACCCCAGATAGGGAACAGTACCCTAACCCCTCCTTAATAACTTTGCAACCTTCCCCCCCCCCCCCCCCAAAAAAAAAACGTTTTAGGTCAGAATCCCTACAAATTCTAACCCTGACATTTCACATGTAAATAGTTGAAACAACGCAATTTACAATTTTTAAAATCCTACGACCTTGAAATTGACCAAAATGGACCATGAATTTTATCAGGCCCTATGGGTAGGCCCATGAATGATGGTCAGAGATGTGACTGCATGCTCTGGGTGTTTTAAGCCTCTAACTGCCTGAAGCTGGGGATGGAGCACTCACTAACAGCCACTCTGTTCATTGCCTTTGAAGCATCTGGCATCAGCCGCTGCTGGAGAACAGGACGCTGGGCTAAGAAGACCACCAGTCTGACTCAGTCTCATTGCTCTGACTTATGAGAATCTGTTTTCTTCCAGGATCATAGATGGCAGTTAATATATATTTACATTAGGGATGTTAACTAACATTTTTGTAAATATAGCTGCTGGGGGGGGGGGGGGGGGGGGGGGGCGCGTC